CCTCCCTCTTTTCCTCCCTCCCCACCCAGGTGCGCGCCGGGCCGCCGGCAGGTGAGGAAGGGGTGGCTACGGCGCTGGGGTCCCCGGGGCCCGGCCTGGGGTGGGGTCCCCCGGGAAGGCAGGGGCTCCCCTCGGAGCGCTGGGATGTGGTTTGGGGGCTCCTTTTCAGTGTGGGGCGCGGCCTGGGACTCCCAGTGCCCCTCGGGGGTGGAGGAAGCCCTTGCTTGCGGGAAGTGGCCGCATTCGGGCAGCCCACACCTGTCCCATTGAAAGTCCCCTCCGAGGAAGCGTTCGCCGGGGGCGGTCCCGGGGTGCGCGTTCTCAGCTATCCCCAGCGCCTCACAATTGGCCGTCCAGCAGGCTGGGGCGGGGGCAGCTGTTCCTCTGTAAGCGCAGAGGAAACTGAGGCAGGTTTGCCGGGGCCTGCTTGCCTCCAGGCAAACTAGCTGGTGGCCTTTCTGGTGGAGGGAGCCCGAAGGGGGCTGCTTGAAAGAGAGGGGTTTACAATTGGAAGGGTTGATGGAGAAGTTTGGGAATGCGGTTCTTCTCCAGGGTCGGTCTCTTGGGAGTCGTCCTCTGTGCACTACGCATGTGAGGTCGCCGCTGTGCGGCAGTGACCGAGACAGAGAGGAGACCGGGGCCTCTCCAGCTGGCTGCCCAGGAGTCATTTGACCAGGCATGGGGAAGTCTGGCTAGACCGCGGGAGCCAGACCTCCGCTGGCATCTTTCTGCCCAGAGCTTGGTTTCACGCTGGCAGAAGAGGCAGCATCGCGTCTTTTCTCCTTTTTGTTGGTCTGTCATTTGTTCTAGGGGGAGGAAGAACCTGCTTGTGTAATCAAGGAAGAGTGTATCACGCTCCTCCTAGTCTACCGGGGGAAGGATTATGGCCCGTTTAGAAATAAGGCTTTCCCCACAAGTGTCACTTGGCACTCTGGTTAAAGGCTAGAGTGACGCAATGAACAAAAGGGTGCGTGTGGCCTTCTAAGAAAGCAGGTAAGTGCCTTTTCACGGGTGGTTTGCGAGACAGACTTCCTGTCACCACTGTTGCTACAAGTGTTTGAGAGGCTGTGGGTCTCTCAATGACGAGTCATCCTTGCCTATGGGCACGGCTGTTCTTGTACCGTTTTTCTAGGAGTGCAAGGACTCAGGTACAGGGCTCTGGGTTGAGTTTGTGTACAGAGTCCTGGGTCTGAATACTGGCCGTGATAATTTCCGTTCTGTCCAGGACTGGATGCGGGCCATGATATTTCCTTTCTGTTCAGGGGATTTCGGTTTGACTTCTTTTCCCTTTCCCCTGATTACGTTTTTTTGTTCATGTCCAAGAAAACAGACCTTGACAAACATTTCTGAAATTTGCATATTTCTTATTTCTGGACTTCAGAATACAATTCATAAGTTATGTATATGTAGGGATATTATTTTCATCCCTACAAAGGAGAATGAGAATGAATATGAGAATGTTTGGATATTACACATGATAATTTCAGATTGATGGGGAGCCTAACTAATAACTTGGCTATTCTTTTTTTTTTGGTACTGGGAATCAAAATCAGGACCTTGCGTTTACAAGCAGGTGCTGTACCCCTCAGCTATATCTCCAGCCCCTTCACTTGGTTATTCTTGAATCTGTAAGATTACATCTGTCTTTGTAATCTAGGATACATACATTTTAATATAAATCTAATTAGAAAGACCAGCTTCTATGGATCAAGTGCTTTCTTCTTTACATTGGCATCAACAGTTGTAAACCCTCTACACTGAAACTCTAAAATGATGTACACAACACTGGGTGTATACCCAGCACTCAGGAGGCTGAAGCAGGAAGATTACTGTGGATTTGAGGCCAGCATGGGCTGCATAATGAGTTCAGGGCCAGCCTGAACTACATAGTAAGACCCTGTCTCAAAAACAAATAACAACAAACCACACAGGAAAAGGAAGTTCTTGAAAAGCTTGGCAATTTGTTTTTAAGTATTCTTTTGGCCAAACCAATTGACATAACTGTGTCTGGTACCTTCTCATGGAAGTCCCTTTGTGTGTGTGTGTGTGTGTGTGTGTGCGCGCGCGTGTTGGTAGTGGTGCCGGGGATTGAACCTCAGGGCCTTGTGTATGCTAGGCAGATGTTTTAGTGCTGACCTGTGGCCCAGCCCTTTTTATGTATTTTGAGACAAGTTCTTGCCAAATTGCCGAGGCTAGTCTCAAACTTGTGATCCTCCTTCCTCAGCCTCCAGAATAGTACACGTTATAGGACCTGCACTAGCGCACCCAGCGAAACAGTCAGCTGTGTTGTTTTGTTTTATGATGTAGCTAGAGCTACATCTCTAGCTCCAGAAATGCTTCTCCAAGGGCTTTCGAAATGATAGAAAAAGCATTTTCATTACCAGCGTTTAGGGAGACAAAACAAAGAGCCCACGTAGCAATAAGAAGCATGCATTTTGTTGTTCAGTGCTCGGGATGGAACCTAGGGCTTTTGCACTGAACTCCATCCAAAGCCCACTTATTATTATTGAGGCAAAATGTAAGTGTTTCACTAAACAGAGTAGCCTTACTCTCAAATTCAGATCCTCCTGCCTCAGCCTCTCCAAAGTGCTGAGGTTGCAGAGTTGCTCCACCTACTCCAGCAGCATAATTTTGTTTCTAACAACACGTGTACTGTGACGTTTGGTACAGCTGCACCACCAACCCGTATGACTGTCACCTGCTCCCTTCTGAAAATATCTACATCAACCTAAAGAGTGTTGGGGGGCTTGATTTTTATTTTTGTAGTAGAAACTTTTAATACTGCTATTGTGCTAGAGGACTTTTATTTTTAGTACTTAGTATTTTCAGAGGTGCTGGGATCAAATCTAGGGCCTTAGGAATGCTACTCAACATGTTCTGCCACTGAACTGTACCCTCAACCTCTTGGGTTATTTTTGTTTGACCTAGTTATTGATAATGTTTACTTGATGTCTATGTAAGGAAGATGTTTAAGAACAATCTTTTCATATACCAGCACAGACTCTTTTTAATGGGCAAATGGTCCAGTCACTTTCTTTTTTTATAGCTTATTGTTAGTTGTGGAATTTTAAAATCTGGAAATTTGAGAGCTTTACCAGTATCCTGTTATGTGTCACATAATAGCCATCTCGAGTAGGTAGTAATTGGCCTTATGGGTTCAAGACCACAGTTCTCCCTGTTCTCAGGATTTAGCCGTTGGGTGGTCAGAACAGTGGTCATGTCTAATCCTGTTAGGCCAGTCCTGGCTCAAACGTATTATCCTTTCTCTTCATTAAGACTGTCTTGAAGTTTCTCTTTTACTTTTGTTATTCAGAGTGAATATTTCACATTTTAAGTGAATACTTCACATTTTTTGTGTTTCTGACCCTGTTTACATTTGAAGTGGAGCTAAGTAGTTGATTAAGAGAGTCCTGCATAATTTTAAACATTCTTCTTTTTCAAGGCAAACTTAAGTTCTCTTTCTCCTGGGAGAAAACCAGCTCTTTGAATCTGATAGTAAAACAAAAGCTGGTTTTTCCAGCTTTCTACCAGGGGGCAATTTTCTTTAACCTTCGTGCTTTCTGGTTATGCCGGTACAGTGACGAGTCAGTCACTAGTAATAAATGATGACCCAGTTATACTGGGAGATCCTGCAGGCTCCTGAATCATCAAAGGCAGGTCACTTTGCATTCAGTGCAGTTTTAGCCTTTTCAGCTTGTTTTAATGCAAGGAGTTTCCAAAAGGGGAAGAAGGATTTGGAATCCTTGACAGATTTGGTATCTGGCAGTTTCCTACTGACTGGAGAGGTGTTCTTTAAAAATGCAGATTTCCCAGCCCTGCCTCCTGGAGTTTTTGATTGAATGGTTAAATGAGGACCAGGAACCTACTTTTTAAAATCCTCCCTTTGCATTTGCGGTATTTCCAAAAAGTTTCCCAAGTGTTTGGGTATGCAGCTAAGGTTGGAGTTTGGGGACTGCTGTTCTACCGCATCGATATTCTTTTCTTTTTTGTCTGCTTGCACATCAAGCCCTTGGAAGCTTGACTATTGCAATGCACCTTTTATTTTCCTTTAATTTTTAAATTGGAATTGTATGCACTGAGATTCTTTATAAATTGGTAGTCCCTCTAAATAGCATTGTTACACTACCCAGGATATTTGATTTGCTAGAACAGCCCATTTCCTAGTCAGGACAGATAACAAAGAGCTTTTATAACTTTTATGTAAATTGCTCTGCCGCAAGGCCCCTCTGCTGTATTATCTATCGGGAGTCATGAGAGAGGCTTTTCGGTGAAAGTAGCTTTCTTTAGCTCCAGAGTGGACAAACGAGTGATAATGTGGAAACAGCTGGAGGTCTGAATAGGTAGTCAGTTGAGTTGTGGTCAGTTTGGGATGGGAGAGATGCCTGGGAATTCTCTTATGTAAGATTTTAAAATAGAGCCAATGGGCCAGTTTCATCTTTTACAGCTGACCCTTGTTGAAAATAGATGCTAAATAGTCAATAAAATTAGTCACAGGTTCTTTGCTGAGTTTGTGGAGGGAAGAAGATTGCTGAAACCCAGAAAACAGAATGAGGCCTTGGTGTATAGTAGATCATTGAAGATGGGTTTGGAAAAGACCTCTCAGGGCTGACCAGATAGCTCAGCAGATTAAGGCCAGGCACAGGGTCTGGGGATTCGATCTGCAGGCCCTGCTGGCCCCGCCCTGGGGGCATGCTGAGACTGCAATTGAGACTGGGCGTGGTGGCACATGCCTGTAATCCTAGCTCTTGGGAAACTGTAAACAGGCGGATCACTGAGTCTGATCTACGAGTAGAACCCTGAACATGCTGTAGACCCTTCCCTAAAATACAAAAAAAAAAAAAAAAAAAAAAAAAAAGAACCCCTCTCTCATTGCCTTCCAGTACTGGCGATTCAACCAGGGGGTTCTTGCACTGAGCTGCTTCCCTAGACCTTTTAAAACATTTTTTGAGCCAGGGTTTCACTAAATTGCCCAAGATGGGGTCCAGTTTATAATCATCCTGCCTAAGCCTCCTGACTAGCTGGAATTATAGGTAGGTATATTTTGTTTGTTTGTTTTTGAGACAGGGTCTCACTACGCAGTTCAGACTGGCCTTGTGCTCACTTTTGTAACCCCTAGGTTGGTCTCCAACTCTTAGAGATCTGCCTGGTTCATTCTCCCAAATGCTGGGATTACAGGCAGGTGCCACCATGCCTGGTTCCAGAGCTGCACCTGCATCTGGGGCCAAGACTGCATGGCATGTGGGACCAGGGATCGAACTGTGGCCCTTGTGCTTGCCAGGTAGGTGCTTATGCCCCTTGAGTGATCATCTCTCCGGCCCCATACAGGTAAATGTTACCACTCCTGGCAAGGCATGGCTTTTGAAAGGAGAGGACAGAATGCCAGCCTTGCATTGTCCATCCTGAGTTGTTTCTGTTTTGATCTTCCTGCTTCAACCACTAGATTGGGACTGATTGGTTATGGCCCTAGTATGAATTGCTGAATTATTATGGTCTTCATCTAATATGGCTGAAGCCCTTAAAACAACAGCTTATCTTCCCAGAATCTACCTCCCCACTTCTTCAATTCAGCCCAGGATGCAATTTCCTTTTTTTTTTTTTTTTTTGGCGGAACCGGGGATTGAACTCAGGCCCTTGCGCTTGCCAGGCAGGCGCTTATTCTACTGAGCCGTCTCCCTGGCCCCACAATTTCCTTTCACCCATTCCACCACCTCAGGGAAGGTCTCAATCAGCTCTTCAGGTGTATCTAAACATCCCCCTCAAACTCCATCCCCGGCAAAAGGCCATAGAAGCCTCAGCTTCCCCTTGTTCCAATCCGGAGAATTTTTCCCCAAATTCTTTCCTTGTCCTCCAAAGATAATAAAGCCCCTTTCCCTTTTTCCTTCTGCCTGTTTCTCTGCCGTAACCATCGAAAACCTATCAGGGACTACATTCATGTACCACACCTCCCAGCTAACCTGGTTTTGATTTTGAATTCTGGTTTCTGTACATCCTGG